TGGCAACCCATTCCCTAAATAGTGTCCTACTTTTGACCCATAGGGCTCTGGGCAAAAATAGTGCACTACATTTGGAAAAATATTGTGCACTACATTTGGAACGGGCCCAGTGTCACAGACTGCCTACAGTATTTCTGTTCCCTCCCGGTGGGCTGAGCCATTGTTAGAGAAGTCTGATCATGACTGATGGCTCAGAAGTTCCCAATGCTGATATGAATAGACAGCTCAATGGAATAGAAGTTACAGTGCCTTCAGAAAGTATTCACACCCTTTGACTTTTTCCACATTTTGATGTGTTACAAGTTGGATTAATATGGATTTAAAATGTTATATTTTTGTCAGCGATCTACACAAAATACTCTATTGTCAAAGTGCACGAAAAATTACACTAATATATGTTGATTACATAAGTATTCAACCCCTTTCTGGGTAAGTCTCTAAGAGCTTTGCACACCTGGATTGTACAATATTTGCACATTATTATTTTAAATATTCTTCAAGCTAAGTGTAATTGGTTTTCAAGCCGATTTAAGTCAAAACTGTAACTAGGCAACTCAAGAACATTCAATATCGTCTTGGTAAGCAACTCCAGTATATATTTGGCCTTGTGTTTTAGGTTATTGTCCTGCTGAAAGGTGAATTTGTCTCCCAGTGTCTGTTGGAAAGCAGACTGAACCGTGTTTTCCTCTAGGATTTTGCCTGTGCTTAGCGCTATTCCATTTATTTGTATACTAAAAAACTCCCTGAGTTAGGAAGGACGCCTGTATATTTGTAGTTACTGGGTGTATTGATACATCATCCAAAGTGTAATCAATAACTTCACCATGCTCAAAGGGATATTCAATGTCTGCTTTTTAAAAGTTTTGCCCATCTACTAATGGGTGCCCTTCTTTGCGAGGCATAAGAAAACCTCCCTGGTCTACAGATCCCCTGTAGCTCAGTTGGTAGAGCATGGCACTTGCAACGCCAGGGTTGTGTGTTCGTTTCCCACGGGGGGCCAGTATGAAAAATTTATGCACTCACTAACTGTAAGTCGCTCTGGATAAGAGTGTCTGCTAAATGACTAAAATGTAAAATGTCTATGTGGTTGAAACTGTGTTTGAAATTCACTACTTGACTGAGGGACCTTACAGATAATTGTATGTGTGGGGTACAAAGATGAGCTAGTCATAAAAGAAATAATGTTAAACACTATTATTGCACACAGAGTCCATGCAACTTATGTGACTTGTTAAGCACAATTTTACTCCTGAACTTATTTAGGCTTGCCATAACAAAGGGGATAAATGGTTATTGACTCAAGACATTTCAGCTTATCATTGTTTATTAATTTGTAAAAATTCTAAAATCATAATTCCACTTTGACATTATGGGGTATTGTGTGTAGGCCAGTGACACAAAATCGCAATTTAATCCATTTTAAATTCAGGCTGTAACACAGCAAAATGTGGAACAAGTCAAGGGTTTTGAATACTTGTGGTCCTCTGTAGCTCAGCTGGTAGAGCACGGCGCTTGTAACGCCAAGGTAGTGGGTTCGATCCCCGGGACCACCCATACACAAAAAAAATTATGCACGCATGACTGTAAGTCGCTTTGGATAAAAGCGTCTGCTAAATGGCATATTGTTATTATTATTACTTTCTGAAGGCACTGTAAATTCAGAGGAGAAGTGTTTAGTGATTAAGGCCAGGTACATGCAGTTCTCCCTCCTCTTTACCTATCAAGGAATCCTGAGTCATAATTACAGTTCAGTTAGTTCCCTTAGTTCTGCAAACACCTTTGAAGACCACCTCTCTGTTCATATTACACTGTGTCCTTCAGAATGGCATAGGCCATTATCCAAGTTTCAAGTTTTTATGTCACGTGCACAAGTACAGTGAAATGCCATTCTTGCAAACTCATAGCCCAACAATGCAATAATCAATAACAATGTGTTACTAGAAGAAGAAAAAACACGAGAAATAAGAATACGAAATATTAAATACACAATAAAGTAAGTAAGTGAGTAAGTAAGCATACTATATACAGGAAGTATAAAAATAGTGAGTTCCAATACTATATTTACATGTGCAGGGATACTGTAGTGATGGAGGTAGATATCTACTGTATAGGGGTAAGGTGCCTAGGCAACATGATATAAGATAAACAGAGTAGCAGCAGCTTGTATGTGAGTGGGTGTGCGGGTGTGTAGAGTCAGTATAAATGTACACTACCGGTCAAAAGTTTTAGAACACCTACTCATTCAAGGGTTTTTCTTTCTTTTTACTATTTTCTACATTGTAGAATAATAGTGAAGACATCAGCACTATGAAATAACACATATGGAATCATGTAGTAACCAAAAAAGTGTTAAACAAATTTATATATATTTATATTTGAGATTCTTCAAACAGCCACGCTTTGCCTTGATGACAGCTTTGCACACTCTTGGCATTCTCTCAACCAGCTTCACCTGGAATGCTTTTCCAACAGTCTTGAAGGAGTTCCCACATATGCTGAGCACTTGTTGGCTGCTTTTCCTTCTTTTTTCCTATGTGCATATTATGTGTGAATGAGAAAATGATGGAGTGAGTGTTTGTGTGTGTGTTGGAGTGACAGTGTGTGTGTCACTCCAATAGTCTACGGCTTGGGTGGTTGGGGTCTTTGACGATTTTAGCCATTACCCACAGCACACAGAGCAGTGTGTGTTTGTGTGTGTGTGTCCTCAACATGGCCTGTACAGACTAGAGCTGTCATTGCTCCTCACCCTTCAAACGAACACAGTGACAAGAGGTCAGAGTGTTGCACGGTCGCATACACAGACACACACACTACATCTATATTAATATGGCCCACCATGATTCCCTTTATCTCCCACTCTGATCTGATACTAGTGTTAACTTAGATGTAATCATGTCCATGATCATGTGTGACATTTTGTCCCCTCATCTCCATCATAACAGTGACCTTTCAGAAAGGTCATGTTCCATCTACATGAAAGAGGGCGATATGAAAAGTAATCAGCACATCTCCCGAAGATCCTACATGTCAAGCTGCCACTCCACAAGTCACAGTCCAATCAAACAGTCAGCGGGTTAGAGTCAAATTCCAGATCCAATTGTGCATAGCCCGCTGTCTAGCACTAATGCTCCCGGCCTAGACACATATATACTCGTCTCCTCACCAAAGACCGGGGTTCAATCCCAATTCCAACTCTTTAATATGTTACTGTCACCTGCCTGTCTCCCCCTTGGTCATTACATAAATGGTTCAATAAAGTGGTAAAAAATCCCAGGTCCAGCACTATGACAAAAATTAGCCCAGCAGTCTGCACTATCCTATGGGATAGCCTGGCGGCCTCAAAATCCAAGCAATGCAGCTCAGTTAAATGAGTGGGAGAAGTAAAATGAAAATAATGTTGCACATTACCTTCATACATAGAACTGCACTACTGCACTTTACAGACTCATATGCGATTCCTGATCTGTGATGTGAATAAGGTTGATAATCACTTTTATCACTGCACGTGTACAGTCCCCTGTCCCCATATGTTTTTGTAAAGTGTCTGTTGCTGGTTTTTATGTCCTGTAATGATTTTGTTATGATGCAAGGCACATTTCTGTGAAAACAGATGATTACATTCTGTTATTTTAACTTATTACAGTCATCTACTGAAATCACAGAGATGACACCATTGCCAAAAATGGATGTTGTGGGGGTTTAAATGATTTCTAAACAACCATCCCCTTAGCAACCAACCTCTGACAAGGCACACAGTTAGCTTCAGGCTCTGGTGCATTGGACTAAGGTGGATCTCAAAGGCACCCAATTCCCGGTATAGTGCACTACTTTTGACCAGGCACTATATAGGAAATAGGGTGCCATTTTGCTCTTACACACTCAACATGCACCATGAGCTCTGTTACGCTAGCGTGTTTTACCGCTAGCAGTGCAACCTCTTGCATAAGGCATTATCTTGGTTATTAGCATAACAGTTGCCTCCTTTATTAGGGGAAGCTTAATGAAATGCTAATTCCTGTAGGTGGGATACCACCCCTTGCTGCTTGCTAGAAGAGGAATAAGAGGCTTTACTGGAATTTACATGATGACTTCCTGACCTGCTTTGCAAATTGCACAGAATGGTTCTTGCTGTGTGTGCAAGCTCACACACACAGGGAACCACTCGTGAAAGCTAACACACACACGCACACTCACACACACGGTGTCAAGCACACATACACACACACACAGTACCACATGTGTATGCTAACACACAGAGCAGTGTGTGTGTGTTTGTATGTGTTTGCGTGCGTGCGTGTGCTCAACATGCATGGCCTGTACCATGACTCACATGCCGTAGCTAAACACAGAGTGACAGAGTATCTCACACACACACACACACAAACCTGCTGATCTAAAGCTTTGTTTGCACCTTAACCTTGAGCACTACCTTGCCAAGTTTAATCATGTTTGAGAGTAAACAAACAATGCGCAGCAAGAAACAAGAGAACCCTGCCATAACAAAACTATAAAAAACACACAGCAACAACTTGCAAGTCAAATACATAGTCAAGAAAAAGAAAAATGATGGTGTGTCAGCTTAACAAGTGGAGCTGGCATGGGTGCTGGTGTACCCTCAGCCCAGCTGGTGGGGTGGGTCTACCCTGGTCTGGGAAAACCCCTCACACCCCGCCAGTCTCTGCACACCTGCAGACATCCAGCCTATGGAGCGCTGGCTTGGAGAGTGACCGGTGTTTGGCTCACCCCTCCGAAAATTACAGAGAACATGGCAACAGGACAGCAGCTCTAATATGACATTACTGTTCCTGGGCCCATTTGGGACACAGCCGTCTACGCGAGTCATCAGCAATGGTACTAACTTTTTTTGCTGACATCCTATGGACAGTACATTGAATGCTTCAAAGTGCAAACAGAGCTATTTCTTGCTGCATTCAATGTAAATGCAGACACTATTCCATATTATGTCCATACCTCAACAAGAAGTAAAATAACATTCGTACCTTGACCAGTAAGCGGATGGTGCCTGATGCTTTGTGGGAAATGTAGTACCAGAAGGTGAGCTTGCAGGTGGCACTGGACTCCTTCCACACAGAGCTCTTCATGTGAGCCTTATCACCTTTAAATCCCACTGGAGTGGCCTCCAGATAGACAAAATGACCTGGGTGTGTGTGAGAGAGAGAGAGAGCGAGAGAGAGAGAGAGAGAGAGAGAGAGAGAGAGAGAGAGAGAGTGAGAGAGGTGTGAGGCAGATTGATAGCCACCTCCTCAGATTGCTCTTGCTGATGGTGACAAAATACAGTTAGGTCATAGGGATGCGAGGGAGAGTCATGAGGTGGCGATCACTGCAACTGCCCCTTAGTGCCTTCGGTGGTTGCCATTGCAGAGGGCACAGAAAAGGTTTCACAAGTCAATGATCAAACCTCCAAAGTTAGAAAAGAATGTGCTGGATTCAACATGAGTCAGTGATCTAGAACATTCTACAGACTGGAAGAGTATGATCATTCATATATGTGGCTCTGAGTAAGTTCAAAAGCTTCTCAAGATACTGCAGATTAATAGTCATTCAATACCTTGTCTAAGTGATACACCTTAATGGCATCCTATCCTATTCCCTATATAGTGCAATACTACTGACCAGAGCCCTTTGGGCCCTATGTATGGAATGCACTATATAAGGAATAGGATGCTATTTGGGACACGTCCATAGGGTTTATTCTGCTCAAATGTATTTCTCTATCAAAGCTGCTGTGAAGAAGTTATGAATTTCCATTCCAGACACAGATGTTAAAATGCATAAACATTACGAATGTTATTTTTCTTATCAATCCTCTCCACCTTGAGCCAAGAATTGTGATCCAACTATCTCATCAAATTCTGGGATATGGGTTTTAATTTATTCGCAGAGGTGGTAGGGAATGTAAAAAAGCAAACTTATATCCACTTCCTCAAATCAATCCAAGTACATTATTGGACTCTATTCTATGTTTTCATGTTTGGTTCAGCAGATACAGTATGAAGAAAAAATACATTGTCCGGTTATGGTGGGATAGAGAAATAGCCACCATGGCAAGGTGCTCAGAGGCCCGAACTGTTCAGAGCCCCAAACTGTGCAAGTGTACCAAGTTTCATGTTTTTATAAAAAGTGGGGGGGAAAATGCACATATCGCCTGGACTATAAGGGGAATTCACATAGAAATTGCAGAGAGAAATACACTAATACACTACCATGTTCATTCTTCAGAGTGTGGTCAAATGGAGGTCTTATGCCCTGGACTGAGCCAACACCCAACGCCCAATCAAAGTTGTCAGCCAGGGAGCTCTTCCAACCACAGCGACCATTCTCGAAAGAGCAGGAAGTCCCACAATCCTTTTCATCGGTGCCATCGCCACAAACGTCTACGAAGTCACAGCTCTTGTCTGGATGGAAACACTGGCCATTCTCACACTGCAGGTGGCCAAGAGGACAGGAGTCTAGGGAGCACACACACTGATTATAATGCATAATATAAGCATGAGACAGACAGACAGACACGCACACACACACACACACATACTGACCGAGTGAGAGGCCATTTATTGAGAATTACACAAAGTCAATCTATTTTATAACATTCAATGGCTTGCACATGAAGGCAAAGGGAAACTGCAGCAGTGTCCGGATCTGTGTGTGTAGCTAGCATGGTGTTGGCTTGCATTAGCTTCCTCATACATCATGTAGAGTAGAGGTCATGGGTCAGCCATTAGTGAAGTGAAGCACCACTCAAATGAAAGAGGGTAAGGTCAGGCTGCCCAGCACTAGGGTTGTGTCCCAAATTGCACTCTATTCCCTATAAAGTGCACTACTTTTGGGCCTTGGTCAAATGTAGTGCACTATATAGGAAATAGGGTGCCATTTGGGACACAAAAGTACTGTAGCAATGTTATGGATCATGCTACAACATGCAGCCAAGAGACTAGGGTAATAAGCAGGACCAGACTGGACAAAGGACAGTGAGATAAGAAATCAATGATGTATTGAAATCAAAACAAATAGTGCACAACTAAAGGTCGTATTCATTCAGTGCACAAACAGCAGCTGTGTGAATTCCCTGTGGATTTGTGTTGGCTCTGATCTTAAGACCTAACAATTATCAGACATAGACTCTATATACAAAAGTACCCCCCTTCAAATTAGTGGATTTGGCTATTTCAGCCACACCCGTTGCTGACAGGTGTATAAAATCGAGCACAGCCAAGCAATCTCCATTGACAAACATTGGTAGTAGAATGGCCTTACTGAAGTGACTTTCAATGTGGCACTGTCCTCGGTTGCAACACTCACTACCGAGTTCCAAACTGCCTCTGGAAGCAACGTCAGCACAATAACAGTTCATTGAGGGAGCTTCATGAAATGGGTTTCCATGGCTGAGTAGCCACACACAAGCCTAAGATCACCATGTGCAATATTAAGCGTTGGCTGGAGTGGATTAAAGCTCGCCGCCATTGGACTCTGGAGCAGTGGAAACGCGTTCTCTGGAGTGACGAATCCCGCTTAACCATCTGGCAGTCCGACGGACTAATCTGGGTTTGGCGGATGCCAGGAGAACACTACCTGGCCAAATGCATAGTGCCAACTGTAAAGTTTGGTGGAGGAGGAATAATGGTCTGGGGCTGTTTTCCCTTAGTTCCAGTGAAGGGAAATCTTAATTCTACAGCATACAATTACATTCTAGATGATTCTGTGCTTCCACCTTTGTGGCAACAGTTTGGGGAAGGCCCTTTCCTGTTTTAGCATGACAATGCCCCCGTGCACAAAGCGAGGTCCATACAGAAATTGTTTGTCGAGATCAGTGTGGAAGAACTTGACTGGGCTGCACAGAGCCCTGACCTCAACCCCATCGAAGCCCTTTATGATTAATTGGAACGCCGACTGCGAGCCAGGCCTAATCGCCCAACATCAGTGCCCGACCTCACTAACGCTCTTGTGGCTGAATGGAAGCAATTCCCCGCAGAAAAGTTCCAACATCTAGTGGAAAGCCTTCCCAGAAGAGTGGAGGCTGTTATAGCAGCAAAGGGGGGACCAACTTTATATTAATGCCAATGATTTTGGAATGAGATGTTCGATGAGCAGGTGTCCACATACCTTTGGTCATGTAGTGTACATGCACACATGCGCAGGCACACACACACGCAGACTAGATAAAAAGGCCCAAGGTGCCAATAAAGAGGAAGGTGCTTTTGGATAATGCTGATATTGAGATGGTAAGATCTTCTCTGCATGATCAAAACTTTACCTTCATAATGTAGGGCTAATAACATCTAGTTTCTCAGAGTAGGAGTGCTGATCTAGGATCAGTTCCCACTTTGTCCATGTATTGTTATTAATTGTGATCTAAAAGGCAAAGCTGATCCTAAAATCGCAAAACAAGCAAAGAGACCTAAAAGGCCAAGAATTCAAATTGTATATAAAAAGTAAGCCAAACAAGCAGACGATCTGAATGATACATTAGCCTCTCTTTCAGTCAGTGGCTTAGGAGGACAAAGGAGGGGAGCAGTAAGGCATTGTATCAGAAGAAGGGGGAGTAGAGGGCTGAGGAGAGGGGATGTGGGGCTGGAATTTGGGCTGTATAGGAGCCAGGCATTCCAGTGGTGTCAGACTTGGGGTTTTGGAGTATTAGAGAGGCGTGATGATGCGTGATGAAGAGGGGTGGTCCCAGTAATTAAAGCAAAGAAAGCGGGATAAATCCCCTCTAATCTTTTGTTCCACTTCTTCAGGTGCACAGTACCAGAAGGAATATGATACCACCACAGTAGTACAAAACAAAGGAGATGATCGTGGACTTCAGGAAACAGCAGAGGGTGCACGCCCCTATCCACATCGACGGGACCGCAGTGGAGAAGGTGGAAAGCTTCAAGTTCCTTGGCATACACAATTGGCGCACAATTGGCCCAGTGTTGTCCGGGTTTGGCCGGTGTAGGCCGTCATTGTAAATAAGAATTGGTTCTTAACTGACTTGCCTAGTTAAATAAAGTAAAAAAAATATAAAAAATAAAACAAATACACATCACTGACAAAATGAAACGGACCACCCACACAGACAGTGTGGTAAAGAAGGCGCAACAGAGCCTCTTCAACCTCAGGAGGCTAAATAAATTTGGCTTGGCACCTAAAACCCTCATTAACTTTTACAGATGCACAATTGAGAGCATTCTGTCGGGCTGTTTCACAGCCTGGTACGGCAACAGCACCACCCACAACCGCAAGGCTCTCCAGAGGGTGGTGCGGTCTGCACAACCCATTACCGGGGGCAAACTACCCTCACTCCAGGACACCTACAGCACCCGATGTCACAGGAAGGCCAAAAGGATCATCAAAGACATCAACCACCCGGCCACTGCCTGTTCACCCCGCTATTGTCCAGAAGGCGAGGTCAGTACAGGTGCATCAAAGCTTGGACCGAGAGACTGAAAAACAGCTTCTATTTCAAGACCATCAGACTGTTAAACAGCCATCACTAGCACATTAGAGGCTGCTGCCTATAGACATAGACTAGAAATCACTGGCACTTTAAGAAATTGAACACTAGCCACTTTAATAATGTTTACATATCTTGCATTACTCATATCATATGTATATACTGTATTCTATACTATTCTACTGTATCTTAGTCCATGCCGCTCTGACATCACTCGTCCATACAGTAAATGTATATATTCTTAATTAATTCCTTACTTAGATTTGTGTGTATTGGGTATATGTTGTGAAATTGTTAGATATTACTTGTTAGATATTACTGCACTGTCAGAGCTAGAAGCACAAGCATTTTGTTACACCTGCAATAACATCTGCTAAACACGTGTATGTGACCAATACAATTTGATTTGATTTGAAATACATCCCAAATGGCACCCTATTCCCTATATAGTGCACTACTTTTGACCAGAGCCCTACAGTCAATAGTAGGACACCATAAAGGGAACAGGGTGCAATTTGGGACCATCCATGGATATGGAAAAACAGGAAGCCATTGCTCCTCTCAAAGGTAACGAAGAAAGAGTTTGGTCTACCGTGATGGTCAATCATTTCCATACATTCAAGTCATTTCAAGTGTTGAAAGTTGTTTCTGCCTTTGTAAATAGCTGGTTTCAAATGGTATGAAATCATTATAACATATGTATATGTGCTTGATTGAGTTTGCCTGGCTTAATGGACCAAACAGAATAGTCCCAAAACTGCAAACCCTGCCCACTTAGCACTCCAAGCAGGATAGAGCAAATGCTCAAAGTATTTGAAAGATTTCAAATAGTTTTTGATCCCAGGTCTAATATCTTCCATCATAACAGCAAAGCCAGCCTCTAGTTTATTCCCCAATTTACCTCTACCTCCATCTCTCCCACCCTCTGCATCAAAGACTGAATGTTAGTGCAGATTAAACCGAGGATTAATGGACTTTTATATGATGATCATTATGGGATATGATAGCTCAGGAGCCTGTACATTAAAAGTGGATCTAATTTATTTGTTTTTACTGATAAGCTGACCACCTTCTTCACCCTGCCTAGTGCCTACCCCACTTTCCACTTAAGCTGTGCTAATATAGACACCGTACACAGCACAGGAGGTTGGTGGCACTTTAATTGGGTAGAACGGGCTCGTGGTAATCGCTGGAGCGGAATCAGTGGAATGGTATCAAATACATCAAACACATGGTTTGATACCATTCCATTCACTCCATTCTAGCCATTATTATGAGCCGTCCTCCCCTCAGCAGCCTCTACTGGTACAGTAATGACCCACTGCCCTTCAACTCCATATACTCACCCTGGGTAGGACATTGTCCCCTGGTGGATTGGGGAGTAGAAGAATCTGTGGAATCTGTGTTTATTTTTTGGTGGGTTGTGTGTTACTCAATACCATCACAGAGCAACCACATCCAAACTGTCAACAATGTTACGGTAATGACCTGTTACAGTAATGACTCTCTTCTTGTATCAGGTGCCGTCACACTGCTGTCTGATTATACTTGTCCTACATGGCTTTCCATCATTCCCTCTCATCTGAATAGAATGTCTTTCATCTCCCTGTCCTCCTCAACAACAGGCCTGTTCTCCACCGCCTTTGATATGATTAGTCCACGGTCGTTAGGTTTTTTACATACCATTATACATCATAAGCTACATATTCAATGGCACCATAGGGCCCATATGGTCCTGATCAAAAATAGTACACTATATAGGGAATAGAGTGCCATTTGGGAGACATCCATACAGTAGCATCTCATAAAAGGCATGAATTCTACATATGAGCTTGATTTAAGCTTGATTTATCTGAGAGAATTGCTAAAGTGTTTTCTGATGCTATCACTTTCTTTCTGAAGAAGGGGGGAGAGGAGAAAGAACGAAAACAAGTTCAGCCGCATTTCATTCATCATAGAAAATTGATTAAAAAGGAAGAAGAGCGAAATTCAGGTCGACCTTGCTTGCCTGGTGAACAACACGACTGTTGATCAGATTTGATTTTGTCATTGATCTAGGAGATTGTGGGGCTGCCGTCCTTGTGATTGACTCATTCCAAATGGAATAATAATGTTGGGGTAATGATAGTGGAAGGACGAGTGGCCTCGTCTTCTAATGCAAGTACACAAACCATCTGTATCGCTCCCTTAGATCTTCCCCTCCTCTGTTGTTTGTATCTAATTTTGTTTTATTAGGCATTTGACTACATTGTGTTATTCTGACTATATTAACAGTCCGTACTCCCTTTCCAGTGCAATCAATGACCAAGGAATATAATATATGTGTTTAACATAAAATGTCCAGTGAGAGGACTAAGTATACTGCCATTGTTCTGGCCAAATTTATATTTAATGTAAGAGAAAAGACAACCATTTTCTCAACTATGTCCGTCAAAGCCATTTTGGCATAGGTCTTTCTCTCCATTGCAGCGTTTCTTAAACGATGGGTCGGGACAGATGGATCCTGGCCAGTTCCTCTTGGGGTCATCGCTAAAGATGTCATTTTGGCTAGGGACATGGAACATGTCCCAAATTATAGCCTATTCCCTATGTCAGGGCTGCCCAACCCTGTTCCTGGAGAGATACCGTCCTGTAGGTTTTCACTCAAATCCTAATCTAGCACACCTGATTCTAATAATTAGCTAGTTGGTAAAACAGGTTAGTTGTTTTGCTAGGGTTAGAGTGAAAACCTACAGGATTTTAGCTCTCAAGGAATAGTGATGGGCAGTGTGAGAGCAAGCTGGATATCAACATATCATTACCAACATCCTCATATTCACATTGACTCCCACTGACTCCCACTGACTACCACTTGGCTAAGACTCCATTAAAGCCATGTGATGACTAATTAATGCCCCTGCCTGTTGGCAGACTCACAGCATGCTAGGTTGCATTCTCATACACATTCATGGCTGTGAGTAAGTCAGAGAGAGAGAGAAAGAGAGAGATATATAAAGAAGCACACAACAGGACTATTGTGTTTAAGGCCCCTATAGTCCAGCCCAGCAGATCACTAGGGGTCCCTTAAAGAGGCCACACACAAAGCCTTCCCCATCCCCTCTTCTCTCCCTGTCCTCTCCTCTCTTCCTCTCCGGCACCCAATACAATAGTAAAGCTATAAATTAGAAAGGGCAATTATAGCTGCTATGCACAACGGTGACAATGGCGCTAAATCAGTTCACGTTGTAGTCCCTTTCTCTCGTCTCTCAAAGGTTGGCTCGTAAAGAACAGGAAGAATGCAGAGGAAACGTACAATCATCTGAATGGACACCAAGCCGGTCTTTATACGCTGACTGATAACGCTTGGTTCACTCAGTCATTTATGCCCGCAAAACCATGACTAACGTCTCAAATGAAACCCTATTCCCTAAATAATGCACTACTTTGGACCAGAGCCAACTGGCCAAAATTAGTGCACCAAATAGGGAACAGAGTGCCATTTAGGATGCAAACTAAGTTCCAATGGTCTCCCAAAGTTCTTTATTTTCCTTCTTTCCATCATCTGCACTAATGCGAAAGAACTGAACAGGCTAAAGTCAATTCCCAGTGGGTAGGTTTTCAGACTATTATGAAGGAGAGAAAACAAGGAGACGAGGAGGTCACTTAAGACTATTGAGATTTACCCTGAGTGACATCATGACATCATACCTGATGGGGGTGGAGTCTCCAATGCTTCTGACGTAGACGAGAGCAGGCAGCCTGGTGAGAAGGTGATGTCATCCAGACAGATGTCCCCCTTGGCACTGCGGCCCACCTTAGGATAGAATAGAATAACATAATTGTTCCAGAGGGAACATTAGTTATGGCAAGTCAGATAAGATAAAGATAGTAAACATATACAGTGCCGTAAAAAAGTGTTTGCCCCCTTTCTAATTTTCTCTACTTTTGCATATTTTTGATACTGAATGTTATCAGATCTTCCACCAAAACCTAATATTAGATAAAGGGAACCTGAGTGAACAAATAACACAACAATTACTTACTTATTTCATTTATTTAATAAACAAAGTTATGCAACACCCAGTGCCCCTGTGTGTTAAAGTAATTGCCCCCTTACACTCAATAACTGGTTGTGCCACCTTTAGCTGCAATGACTCCAACCAATCGCTTCCTGTAGTTGTTGATCAGTTTCTCATGTAGTTGTTGATCAGTCTCTCATGTCGCTGTGGAGGAATTTTGGCCCACTCTTCCATGCAGAACTGCTGTAACTCAGGGACACTTGTGGGCTTTCAAGCATGAACTGCTCGTTTTAAATCCTGCCACAACATCTCAATTGGGATTAGGTCTGGACTTTGACTAGGCCATTCCAAAACTTAAAATGTATTGCTTTTACCCATTTTCATTTAGACTTGATTGTGTGTTTTGGATCATTGTCTTGCTGCATGACCCAGCTGCACTTTTAGCTCCAGCTCACAGACAGATGGCCTGAACTCTCTGATATAGAGAATAATTAATGGTTCCTTCTATTAAGGCAAGTCATCAAATCAAATCAATCAAATCAAATCAAATTTTATTGGTCACAGCGCCGAATACAACAGGTAGACATTACAGTGAAATGCTTACTTACAGCCCAACCAACAGTTTTATTTTAAAAACAAAAGTAAGAATAAAACAACAACAAAAAAGTGTTGAGAAAAAAGAGCAGAAGTAAAAATAAAGTGACAGTAGGGAGGCTATATATACAATAGAATAAGTGACAGTAGGGAGGCTATAAAACAGGGGGTACGTTGCATAGTCAATGTGCGGGCACCGCTGGTTGAGGTAGTTGAGGTAATATGTACATGTGGGTAGAGTAAAGTGACTTGCATAAATACTTAAGAGTAGCAGCAGGTAAAATATGTGGGTGGGGGCAGTGCAAATAGTCCGGGTAGCCATGATTAGCTGTTCAGGAGTCTTATGGCTTGGGGGTAGAAGCTGTTGAGAAGTCTTTTGGACCTAGACTTGGCACTCCGGTACCGCTTGCCGTGCGGTAGCAGAGAGAACAGTCTATGACTAGGGTGACTGGAGTCTTTGACAATTTTGAGGGCCTTCCTCTGACACCGCCTGGTATAGAGGTCCTGGATGGCAGGGAGCTTTGCCCCTGTGATGTACTGGGCCGTACGCACTACCCTCTGTAGTGCCTTGCGGTCAGAGGCCAAGCAGTTGCCATACCAGGCGGTGATGCAACCAGTCAGGATGCTCTCGATGGTGCAGCTGTAGAATTTTTTGAGGATCTGAGGACCCATGCCAAATCTTTTTAGTCTCCTGAGGGGGAATAGGCTTTGTCGTGCCCTCTTCACGACTGTCTTGGTGTGTTTGGACCATGATAGTTCGTTGGTGATGTGGACACCAAGGAACTTGAAGCTCTCAACCTGTTCCACTACAGCCCCGTCGATGAGAATGGGGGCGAAAGGTCTTGAGGCAGCAAAGCATCCCCAAACCATCACACTACCATCACCATGCTTGACCGTTGGTATGGGGTTCTTACTTTTGAATGCAGTGTTTGGTTTTCGTCAGGCATAAATGGGACCCATATCATCCAAAAAGTTATACTTTTGAATTATCTGTCCATAGAACATTCTTCCAAAAGTATTGATGATCATCCAGGTGCTTCCAGGTGCTTTTTGGCAAACCTGAGTAAACTTTTTGGACGACATGGGTTCTATTATGCCTGGCGAAAACCAAACACTTAATTCCACAGCAAGAACCTCATACCAACAGTCAAGCATGGTGGTGGTAGTGTGATGGTTTGGGGATGCTTTTCTGCCTCAGGACCTGGACGACTACCCTTAGGAAGGAACCATGAATTCTGCTCTGTATCAGAGAATTCTACAGGAGAATGTCAGGTCATCTGTCTGTGAGCTGAATCGCAGCTGGGTCATGCAGCAAGACAATGATCCAAAACACAATGAAGTCTACATGAAAATGGCTAAAAAGCAACACATTTGAAGTTTTGGAATGGCCTAGTCAAAGTCCAGACCTAATCCCAATTGAGATGTTGTGGCAGGACTTGAAACTAGCAGTTCATGCTTGAAAACCTACAAATGTCGCTGAGATAAAGCAGTTCTGCATGCAAGAGCGGGCCAAAATTCCTCCACAGCGATGTGAGAGACTGATCAACAACTACAGGAAGTATTTGGTTGCAGTCATTGCAGCTAAAGGTGGTACAACCAGTTATTGAGTGTAAGGGGGCAATTACTTTTTCACACAGGGGAATTGGGTGTTACATAACTTTGTTAATTAAACAAATAAAGTATATTTGTATTTATTTATTTGTAAACTCAGGTTCCCTTTAGTTAATATTAGGTTTTGGTTGAAGATCTGATAACATTCAGTATCAAAAATATGCAAAAATAGAGAAAATCAGAAATGGGGGCAAATACTTTTTCACGGCACTGTAACAGCAACATTCACAGATACAAATGCTATACCAGATATGTACAAGATGAACACAAGTCACAAGAATTCAATAAAATGTTCATAACCTTGCCCTCGAAGGTGACCCGGAAGTCTTCCTGAGAGGTCAGCTGGATGTCCCTCCTCTGCCAGTAGTTTCCCTGGTCTCCAGTCAGGTTGAGGAGGAGCTGGTGACCTGAGGAGCTGGTGACCTGGAACACGTTCAGTGTTCCGAGGCCGTCTCCAGACATGTGCAGGTAGAAGCGGATCTGGAGAAGGGAAGGGACACACAAGGGAAAGTGACAAACATAGTGAAGTCATGCAAGTGTAACCAAGTTTAATTGGTTTAACTAACTCGTCATCTTAAAATACCACCATCCGTACCATCAAATTTCTAGTTGGCTAAGCATAGACAGTCTGAGAAATACCATGATATTTAAGCATTGACAGACTTTTCTCTTCTCATTAGAGTGAAGTTGAAATACCCCTGACTTGGTCCTGTAAATGATATTCAGTAAGTCTGAACAAAGTAACAAGCACCTGAGACTCATGCTTTCTGCTTTACCATTGACTTTTCACTGCAACACTCTTATTATGAACATTATTTTCACCTCACTGCAGACCATGAAAGCAAAGCAAGAGGTCTATATACAAAGGTCATTTGTTGTGAATGAAAACGGTCATCTCCGTAGCTCCTTTCATTTCCTTCCATTTCCCCTGTTCATTATGGCTAGCCCACGAAGTCCGCCACTCAAACGCAGTGCTAAGGAGTTCTACAGGGGTTTTCTACCAAATGCAACTAGATGCAGAGGGAGGGGGGATGCAGTGAAAAGCCCTACTCTCAGGAGAGAAGACTGAACTACCGCTTCTTCTCTCCTCCCTCTCTTCCCCTCCTCTATTCGCTCCATTTAATTGGTGCTTGTCAGCTGCGTGTGATTGATTGACAGGTCCGGCCCGGGATGAGACAGACACAGTGCCATACAGACGAGGCAGTCAATAAGAAGGCTGGCCTCAGACACACTGACTGAGGTGAGCTCAGTCAGAGAGAGAAGCGAGATGGCCCCTGGACTCAACCACTTCACTGGCTGATCTCATCACACACAAAGGGAGGAGATACTGACTGACCCAGCCATTTACACATATTCCCCCAATTCTACTTCATAATCTACCTAAACCTCCTCCCTTAATCTGTCTGTAGGTTTGTATGGTGGATTACACCTCCACACTGAATTGACTTTAAAGCAAATAAACCAAATCATTACACACCTTATAACCCACACTTATTTTTTTACATTTTAGTCATTTAGCAGACGCTCTTATCTAGAGCGATTTACAGTTAGTGAGTGCATATATTTTCATACTGGTCCCCTGTGGGAATCAAACCCACAACCCTGGCATTGCAAGCGCCATGCTCTACCAACTGAGCTACACGGGACTTATGGACCCTTTGTATATTTATCCCTTATTTTACCAGATAAATTGACTGAGAACAGATTCTCATTTACAGCAGCGACCTGGGGAATAGTTAGAGGGGCGAGGAGGGAGGATGAATGAGACAATTGGAAGTTGCGGATAATTAAGTGGCCATGATGGTATGATGGCCAGATTGGGAATTTTGCCAGGACACCGGACTTAACACCCCTAGTCTTACGATAAGTGCCATGGGATGTTTAGTGACCATTGAGAGTCAGGACACTCGTTTAACGTCTAATCCGGAAGAAGGTACCCTACACAGGGCAATGTCCCCCATCACTGCCCTGGGGCATTGGGATATTTATTTTTTAGACCAGAGGAAAGAGTGCCTCCTACTGGCCCTCCAACACCACCTGGTCTCCCATCCAGGTACCGACCAGGACCAACCATTGTGTCCATGTACTGATCAGATGACCCTTTTATTTCAACCCAGTAACACCCACATGGCTTCCGAACTGTTATCTACAGTCTCTGCCCTGACCTTGACCTTTGCCTGACCTTGCACTGCTTGCTCCTGCGGCTGAGGAGGGGTCCTGAGATTCGGGCGGCGTCTCCAGTTGCCTGAGGGAAAGAGCTCTCCACATAGAGGTAGTGGCCAGACGGATCCCGTAGGGTGTGGTCAGTAGATGGCCCTGTGCCAGCAGTCGGTGTGCTACCCGCTTTGATAAGCCAATCGAAATTGTCCTGCTGGCACTGGCGCCAGGAGCAGAGGTCAAACTCAAAGTTGCAGTGTCCGCTGAAGCCCTCTGTAAGAGAAAGAGAGAGAGAGAGAGAGAGAGAGAGAGAGAGAGAGAGAGAGAGAGAGAGAGAGAGAGATGAATTAGTCATTAGTATACTTACCATTACATACTGTGGGCTTATAAAGAACTTCCCCACTTGGCACATCACATCATTTCAACGTGGATAATTGATTAATATTTGGTTGAGACGTTGATCAATGAGATTACAACCAACAGTGAGCTCCAAAAGTATTGGGACAGTGACATATATTTTGTTGTTTTGGCTCTGTACTCCAGCACTTTGGATTTGAAACGACAATGACTGTGAGGCTAAAGTGCAGACTGTCAGCTTTATTTTTAGGGTATTTTCATCCATATCAGGTGAACCGTTTACAAATTACAGCACTTTTTGTACATAGTCCCCCCATTTTAGGGGACCAAAAGTATTCAGACAAATTCACTTATGTATATTAAAGTAGTCAAAAGTTTAGTATTTGGTCCCATATTCCTAGCACGCAATGATTGCATCAAGCTTGTCACTCTACAAACATGTTGGATGCATTTGCTGTTTGTTTTGGTTGTGTTTCAGATAATTTTGTGCCCAATAGAAATGAACGGTAAATAATGTATTGTATCATTTTGGATTCACTTTTATTGTAAATAGGGAGAGAATATGTTTTCTAAACACTTCTACATGCTATTTAACCAATACAAAATGTGAAATGATAAAATAATGTATCTTTCGTCTCTCTCTCTCTGTTTTCATAATTTTATTTTAATTCGCAAGTGGTTGAATCTCACCGGAGAAATCATCAGAGCGAGGGAAACAGCGCCCCTCTGTCTCAGTATGTGTAGCCCATGTATCTGATGCTGTCTGGACCAGAAGAGTATAACATGTTGCCGCTGTAGCGTTTGATTGATTGATGCCAGCAAGCATTTGGCCTCCCTTGATAAAGAAATTCTAAAAGAATTAGCCAATCAGTGTTGAGTTGAGCTCAACTGTGGGTTGTCCTGGTGCAGCAAAACGCCCCCCAAGGTAGGCCAGTTTGGATTTGGCTTCACACCTGTCACGCCCTGACTCTGGGGACTCTTATTTGTTGAGTCAGGGTGTGTATTTTCTATGTGGTGTAGGTCTATGTTGTAAGTCTAGTATGTCTAGATCTATGTTGGCCGGTGTGGTTCCCAATCAGAGGCAGCTGTCGCTCATTGTCTCTGATTGGGGACCATACTTAGGCAGCCTATTGGCACTAGTGGGTTGTGGGATCTTGTTCTGTATAAGGTTAGTTTATTGTTTTGTCGTGTGTTCATTCGTGTAATAAACATGTTTGCATATCACGCTGCGCCTTGGTCTGACCCGTTCATCAACGAGCGTGACAGAAGATCCCACCAAACGAGGACCAAGCAGCGTGCCCAGGCGGAGCGAAGGGCCATGTCACAGGTGGGTAAGTTGTGGTCATGGGAAGAGATATTTGCGGGGAAAGGACCATGGGCTAAGGTAGATGCCCAGGCAGGAGAGGAGCAACGGCAACACGGAGGAGGCCGGTCAAGGAGGAAGCCCGAGAGGCAGCCCCAAGATAATTTTTTTGGGGGGCACACGGGGTGGTTGGCGGAGCCTAGGGTTAGAGCAGAGCCAACTCCCCGTACTCACGCGAGAAGGCATATGACTGGGCAAGCTCCGTGTTATGTGGAGCTATGTACTGTGTCGCCAGTGCGCCGGCACAGTCCTGTACGTCCTGTGCTTGCACCACGCACGTGCCGTGCGAAGATGGGCATCCAGCCAGGACGGGGTGTGCCGGCTCAACGCTCCTGGTCTCCAGTACACCTCCTCGGTCCCGCATATCCTGCGCCAGTTCTACGAGCTGTATCGCCAGTACGCATGCACAGCCCAGTGCGTCCTGTGCCAGCGCCCCGCACGTGTAGTGCGAAAGTGGGTAGCCAGCCAGGACGGGTTGTGCCAACTCTCCGCTCCAGACCTCCAGTCCGCCTTCGCAGTCCGGTCCGGCCCGTTCCTGCTCCTCGCACCAAGCCAGTGGTGCGCGTCGCCAGCCCGGCCCGGCCCGTTCCTGCTCCTCGCACCAAGCCAGTGGTGCGCGTCGCCAGCCCGGCCCGGCCCGTTCCTGCTCCTCGCACCAAGCCAGTGGTGCGCGTCGCCAGCCCGGCCCGGCCTGTTCCTGCCCCTCGCACCAAGCCAGTGGTGCGCGTCGCCAGTCCGGCCCGGCCTGTTCCTGTCCCTCGCATCAAGTCAGTGGTGCGCGTCGCCAGCCCGGCCCGTCCTGTTCCTGCTCCTCGCACCAAGCCAGTGGTGCGCGCCGCCAGCCCGGCCCGGCCTGTTCCTGCCCCTCGCACCAAGCCAGTGGTGCGCGTCGCCAGCCTGGCCCGGCCTGTTCCTGCCCCTCGCACCAAGCCAGTGGTGCGTGTCGCCAGCCCGGCCCGGCCTGTTCCTGCTCCTCGCACTAAGCCAGTGGTGCATGTTCCTAGTCCGGTTCGGCCCGTGCCTGCTCCTCGCACCAGACCAGTGGTGAGTGTGTCCAGTCCGGCACGCCCGTGCCCGTTCCACCGGTGTCTGGTCCGGCACCAGTCAGCAGCTCCAGTCCGGAGCCAGAGCAGTCCGCTCCACCAGTGCCTGATCCAGCTCCGGTCAGCTGCTCCAGTCCGGAGCCAGAGCAGTCCGCTCCACCAGTGCCTGATCCAGCTCCGGTAAGCTGCTCCAGTCCGGAGCCAGAGAAGTCCGCTCCACCGGTGCCTGATCCAGCTCCGGTCAGCTGCTCCACTCCAGAGCCAGAGTAGTCCACTCCACCGGGGTCTAGTCCAGCTCCGGTCAGCGGCTCCACTCCGGAGCCAGAGCAGTCCGCTCCACCGGTGCCTGATCCAGCTCCGGTCAGCGGCTCCACTCCGGAGCCAGAGCAGTCCGCTCCACCGGGGTCCAGTCCAGATCCGGTCAGCGGCTCCAGTCCGGAGCCTGAGCAGTCCGCTCCACCGGTGCCCGGTCCAGCTCCGGTCAGCGGCTCCAGTCCAGACCCAGACGTCAGCCCCTCTCCAGGTTCGGGGTCTCCCACACCAGGGTCCAGACAGGGCTTGGAGTATAGTGGGAGGAAGGAGAGGGGAAGCAGCGCGCCGAGGTCCAGACCAGACCAGGGGGGCAACAGGGAGGCGGAGAATAGGTGGTTGTCACGCCCGGAGCCGGATCCGCCTCCGAGGCGGAATGCCCACCCGGCCCCTACCCTGTTAAGTAAAGGTTGTGCGGTCGGAGTCCGCACCTTTGGGGGGGGGGGTACTGTCACGCCCTGACTCTGGGGACTCTTATTTGTTGAGTCAGGGTGTGAATTTTCTATGTGGTGTAGGTCTATGTTGTAAGTCTAGTATGTCTAGATCTATGTTGGCCGGTGTGGTTCCCAATCAGAGGCAGCTGTCGCTCGTTGTCTCTGATTGGGGACCATACTTAGGCAGCCTATTGGCACTAGTGGGTTGTGGGATCTTGTTCTGTATAAGGTTTGTTGTGTTACCGTAGGACTTCACGTGTCGTTAGTTTATTGTTTTGTCGTGTGTTCATTCGTGTAATAAACATGTTTGCATATCACGCTGCGCCTTGGTCTGACCCGTTCATCAATGAGCGTGACAACACCAATCAAATCACTTCCTAAGCAAAACATAATTTTCAGAAAAACTTGTTTCTGGTATGCTTGTGTTGATGACATGGATGGAGATGGGGATTTGGACTTGTGGTTTTGACTTAATTCTCTGTACAGGCCAATGATTATGACGGTGATTCTGATCGAACCATATATTAATATTTTGTGCCACTGGCCTGTGACGATTGAAGTTCAGTATGTAGCCTAGATTTAGCCTAGTAGGCTCATGTTAACTAGCTAGCTAACTTAGCTGGTTCATTGTTGCCCATGTGAGGAAGTTAGGCTAGCAAGCATTTTAGCTAGGTAGCCTATGACAACCAAAACTAAAGGTGTACTGTATGACAGACCATAGACAGTTTTGCCAACATGAAAGAGAGGAGGATGGCATTGGCATTCAACTAGTCTACAAGTAGGGTGAGTAAAAAAATGTTTTACTTGTGCGCGCACACACACACACACACAGAGAAATCAGTCGCATGGACAGCCACATGATATTAAGCAACATTGATTGGACTAAATAGTTTTCGGTATCTTTAAGTTTGTTTTCAGTGTATTAAACTAAGCATAAATAGCCTTGTTGATTTGATGATGTTTAAATCTTTAAGTTGAATTGGTGCTGGAATAGCGGAGGCAGTTCTCCTGTTGTCTTTGTGTTGACTTGTGGTAACTCTGTGGTTCTAAATCAGTAGTTGTTTAGTAAACCTTTGAAAACATTAACTTGCTTGACCATGCTGCAGATTATATAACTGTGTTACATGCAATACTTCAACTGACAGATGTTGCTCTCTAGTTTGTGATGAAACAAACAAATGTGTAGTTAAATGTATTCCGCCACTGTGTGACTGTTATCTTTTTGTTGTCAATGCCTTATTGAATACCACGTGGCGTATGAACTAATGGGTTATATAGAAAACAACGCAATTATCACAACATATTGTAGGTTGTAATATGGCTTTTTTACTGGCTTGGCTTCCTCAGTGATTTTACCCACACACTGCTACTGCTCAAATGAAAGCTGACAGTCTGCACTTTAACCTCACAGTCATTGTATCATTTCAAATCCAAAGTGCTGGAGTACATAGCCCAAACAACAACAAAAATAATCACTGTCCAAATACTTTTGGAGCTCACTCCAAAAGACAGCCTAAAGTTATTTGAATTTCCAATGTGTTATCACTATGCTTTGAACTATCTAAAAGTAGTCTCGTAAACCCGACCCTAGACAAGAGCAGTGTATACATTGTGGGAGGCAACTGTCTGCCTAGGGAGACTAATCTAATAGCACAACCAAATTCCAATGGAACAACAATGTCTGATATTTGGTTTAGTTGTCACCCAAATGTATATCACTGTGCTTTTAACCATTTAAAAGCACAGCAAAGTTCAAATGGGAATACAATGTCATATATTTTGTTTATTTATACAACAGATTAATGTGTTATCACTGTGGTTCATCTAATAGCAGAACCAAATGACTTGGAATGCAGTTGAGAATACATTAAAAAGTAGGCTACATGGTGCAAGTGATCAATGTCATTCGAGATTCTGCTCAGATTATTACAGCAATTGTGAAGATCTCCACAGACCTGCAATGACATGCACGCTTTATATAATTATATAAGAAGACATTTATAGGTACATTAAGGTCAAAATGTGGCCATGGATGTGTTACTCATTTTAAGGTTGAATGTTACATTAGTTTGTAAGATAGCTAGCCTTAACTTTAGGCTATTTACTGTATAACAAAAGTAATATTGAATTGTGTTAGGTTGACAACACAACCAAATAGCAATTTTTAAAGGAGATGTAACTACTGCTTGGATAGTTCCATCTGAGCCACTGAATTAATCCCATTCTTGAACTTATTTTTGGTTAAGTTGGAGACGTGAATCCAACACATCATTTGTTCACTTTTTGACAAGTTAATAGGCTATTGATTATTTTTCAAAAATGATAATGAATTGTGTTTGGTTGTCAACACAACCAAATATCAACATTTGAAGGAGATTTTTTCTTCTGCTTGGATAGTTCCATCTGTGCCACTGACTTAGTCTGGATTTAATTCCAGTTTGTCTACAAATTAATAATTGATATGTTGGATTGACATCTCCATCTCTCTCTAATTTGTAGAAAAACTGGAATTAAAGCCAGACTAAGTCAGTGGCACAGATGGAACAATACCATGGCTATAATTTAACACATTTGCCACTAGAAATGTGTTTATTTGCCGGTAGGAATGTGTTCAACATCAACTGAAGTAGCTAGCAAGTTTACTAGATAGCTACAGTAGTTGCCGCGGTAACCAAACAAACAGACTAGTTTAACTAACCAAACCATCAGTCCTAGCTTGCTATTATGAAAATCTAATTCAACAATGCCAATAATGTTTTCAATTCAACTTTTTCTTTCGAAAGCAGCTCAAAAATAGAACTTGTAAGAATGAACTATAGCCATTGAATTCTATTGTGCTGATATACCGTGCGTTATAGGGAAATAATGCACGCTCTAGAATACCCTTCAAGTCAATCAGAATCGAGTATTCAACAACGCCATGGTATAATAAGCATTATAAACTTGGTGGTTCAAGCTCTGAATGCTGATTGGCTGACAGCCGTGGTATATTTAAGCAATAAGGCACGAGGAGGTGTGGTATATGGCCAATATACCACGGCTAAGGACTGTTCTTAGGCACGTGGTATACGGTCTGATATACCACGGCTGTCAGCCAATCAGCATTCAGGGCTCGAACCACCCATTCATTTCTGATTACGTTGGTAACCATTTTATAATAGCAATAAGGCACCACTTGGGTTGGTGGTATAAGGCCAATATATCATGGCTAAGGGCTGTATCCATAAGAACAGCCCATATACCACACCCCCTCGGGCCTTATTGCTTAAATATCATTACATTTTTGGAACACTAGGCCTATGTATTGAATCCTGGGTTGAATTGAAATAATATCTGTTGATGACTTTGCAAATGCTATATAGGCCTAAATAGCAACATTGATGATACAGTATATGAGTGAGAAAGTACGGTCACATTTCATTTGCTCTGTTAAACCTACCCTTTGGAATGCCTTCATAGCAACAGTGAATCTATTTAGTTTTGTGTAGATCTTTCAAAAAGGCATAAGCTGACGCACACCCAAAAATGTTTTGTACAGGTGCTGACTAAGAGAGTAAACTATAAAAAGAAAGAAAGAAAGTTGCACACTCTAATTATGCCCCCAAACATTCTATGCTCCCAAACACAATTATGCAACAATAACTCTCATGATAGCACATTGGTAATGGTCAGTGAGTGTGACAAATATCATAGCTAAGCAGGGCTGGGTTTGGTTAAAACCCTGGATGGGAGACCAAAAGGGTAACTGTAGATAGATACATTCTCTAGAAGAAGGTCCTGCCCAGCCTATTGTTTTTTTTCTGATAGTGGATATCATGATGACATAATCCTGTGGTTGAAATTTCAACCTCAAAACAACAGTTGATAACTTTTTTCAAATCCAATGTATTTTCCACGTAGATTCCACAAATTACGTTGATTCAACCAGTTTGTGCCCAGTGGGACACATGTCATTCTGTGGCTGGTAAGAACCAGGTGGCTAGAATGGAGACCAGACTAACATAATAATTCTCATGGCTGTATGTAAAATTGTTTGTAAAATCGAGAGCTTGGGACCATAAGGTTCTATCTGCAGAAATATGATTCTGAGATAATTGGCTTTAAAGTTCCGAACACTCGTTGGTTTGAATGGTGTCAGCAATTTTGATCTTGTTTTCTTTTGAAATTAACAACATGAGTACTATATTTAAGTGATAATGCCAGAGAAGCCGGTGTTTGGAGGATATATTGGCATGGGTGTTGTTAGGCAAACCATGCCAATATATCCTCCAAACACTGGCTTCGAGGGCATTATCACTTTTATACAACGGGTTACCAACATATCCAAATAATGATTGACATATTTTAATTCAAAATATTATTTTGATGGATTTATTCATACTATTTCATCCTTCCACAATATATAGTCCCGACACAAATCTAGGGTTGCTACCCAAGCCGGCTGGTCGTTCGTTCTATCGGTTTGGTTGCTAGAGACGTGACCCAGTCGTTCAGTCTTTTTGTTCTGTATCTATGGACGCGACCCAGTCATTTGCTCTAAATGTGCCATTACCATACTGGCTGGCAACATTCTTATCCCTTGCTTGCTAGCTAGCCAACTATGGCTAATTTACAGTCACGTCGAAAAGACAGATTAACAGCAAAGTAGCCGTATTTGCATTTGTTTAAGCTGTTTTCTAGTGACATTTATTTGGATACATCCATAACAAAGAGCTAATGAGGCGTGATTTCGCCTGGCATAGAAAATGTGCTCACTCGTCAGGACACTGTTGTTCAGAGGAGCTAGCCAATAACACAGCTAACACAATCACTTCAAACTGAAGCTGGAAAGACTGCAAACTAGCTGCTCTTTGTTTAGTTTGACCTTTTTTCAATTGACATTTCTCTGTATACAGTTGAAGTCGGAAGTTTACATACACCTTAACCAAATACATTTAAACTCAGTTTTTCAGAATTTCCTCTGTAGCTCAGCTGGTAGAGCACGGCTCTTGTAACGCCAAGGTAGTGGGTTCGATCCCCGTGACCACCCATACACAAAAAATTTATGCACGCATGACTGTAAGTCGCTTTGGATAAAAGCGTCTGCTAAATGGCATATTATTATTATCACCACTTTATTTTAAGAATGTGAAATGTCAGAATAATAGTAGAGAGAATGATTTATTTCAGTTTTTATTTCTTTCATCACATTCCCAGTGTGTCAGAAGTTTACTCCCGAGTGGCGCAGTGGTCTAAGGCAGTGCTAGCTGTGCCACTAGAGATCCTGGTTCGACTCCAGGCTCTGTCGTAGCTGGCCGTGACCGGGAGACCCATGGGGTGGCGCACAATTGGCCCAGCGTCGTCCAGGGTAGGGGAGGCAGGGATGTAGCTCAGTTGGTAGAGCATGGTGATTGCAACGCCAGGGTTGTGGGTTCGATTCCCATGGGGGGCCAGTATGAAAAATTAAAAAAAATAATGTATGCACTCACTAACTGTAAGTCGCTCTGGATAAGAGTGTCTGCTAAATGACCAAAAAAAAAGTATTTGGTAGCATTGCCTTTAACTTGGGTCAAACGTTTCGGGAAGCTTCCCACAATAAGTTGGGTGAATTTTGGCCCATTCCTCCTTTTGATTTTCCCATGATGTCAAGCAAAGAGGCACTGAGTTCGAAGGTAGGCCTTGAAATACATCCACAGGTACACCTCCAATTGACTCAAATGATGTCAATTATCCTATCAGAAGCTTCTAAAGCCATGACTTCATTTTCTGGAAATTTCCAAGCTGTTTAAAGGCACAGTCAACTTAGTGTATGTCAACTTCTGACCCACTGGAATTGTGATACAATGAATTATAAGTGAAATAATCTGTCTGTAAACAATTGTTGGAACAATTACTTGTGTCATGCACAAAGTAGATGTCCTAACCGACTTGCCAAAACTATAGTTTGTTAACAAGAAATTTGTGGAGTGGTTGAAAAACAAGTTTTAATGACTCCAACCTAAGTGTATGTAAACTTTCGACTTCAACTGTATATCCATAACAATTATACCAGCTGAGTCATGATTTCGACTGGCTGAGAAACGCTGCCTGTCTGTCTCGTCCTGACTCCGGACACGTTCATTACTATGGGACAGCTGGAGATCGAATTTGAATATTGAAACAATGTTGCAAATGTCGGAGAGACAGACAGCAAGGTTTATACAAATCTCTGCTTTTGAAAACTAAATGTTAGTCTAAAAGAAATGTGAGATAATGTCTAGATGCTTTTTATATTGGAGATCAAGTTTATAAATTGCCTGGCTGGGCTGATGAGACAGAGGATTGCACAGTCAGATGGAACAGAGTAAATAGGCATTTTAACGTCATAGATTTAGCCGGTGGTAACTTGTGGAATAGACACCGACTGGAATGCGGTTTTAACCAATCAGCATTCAGGATTAGACCCACCCGTTGGATAAAGGTAGACAACATTGAACAGAATAAGGCTGTCAATAACTCAATTTTGACAAAAATGCAGATAGAACCTTATAGGCCTAAGCTCTCGAAAGGCTGTATGTACAATTAATAAACACCACCATTGCCACCACAGTAATCATACAAAATTATTTAATGAACTATTATCAATCGGGCAGACGAAGGGTCTCTCACTCACTGCAGATATAGGGGTCCTCGTCGGAGCCATCCCCACAGTGGTTGAGGAAGTCACACAGGTTGTCCTCGGGGATGCAGTGTCCGTTGGAGCAGGTGTATTCCTCAGGCCCACACGGCTGCTCTGGGCTGAGGGGAGGGGTGCAGTTCTGGAAGGTCACGTCATCCACCACCACATCTCCCATGTAGCTGATCCCCCGCTTGGCCTGGAAGATCACCTAAATGACGGACAGGATGGAAGTCAGCCATCTGTCCAAGTCTTTCAATGCTTGTAATACCCAAACATATAAAAATCAACAAAACTGTCTAGTACCGTATGAGCAAATTCACAATAACATGTCATTAGTCTCGTTCGCAGCCATCTTCACTATAATCCTGGTAAGCAAGGCTAAACATTACATAAACACAATTCAACTCAACATACCAAGGCATCCCAAATGTTACCTGGTCAAAAGAAGTAGCACAGCGGTCTAAGGCACTGCATCGCAGTGCTAGAGGCGTCACTACAGACCTGGGTTCGATCCCGGGCTGTATCACAACTGGCTGTGATCGGGTGTCCCATTGGGCGGCGCACAATCACCGGGTTAGGGGAGGGTTTGGCTGGGGGGGCTTTACAAGTAGGCCGTCATTGTAAATAAGAATTTGTTCTTAACTGGCTTGCCTAGTTACAGTGGGGAAAAAAGTATTTAGTCAGCCACCAATTGTGCAAGTTCTCCCACTTAAAAAGATGAGAGAGGCCTGTAATTTTCATCATAGGTACACGTCAACTATGACAGACAAAATGATAAAAAAATATCCAGAAAATCACATTGTAGGATTTTTAATGAATTTATTTGCAAATTATGGTGGAAAATAAGTATTTGGTCAATAACAAAAGTTTCTCAATACTTTGTTATATACCCTTTGTTGGCAATGACACAGGTCAAACGTTTTCTGTAAGTCTTCACAAGGTTTTCACACACTGTTGCTGGTATTTTGGCCCATTCCTCCATGCAGATCTCCTCTAGAGCAGTGATGTTTTGGGGCTGTCGCTGGGCAACACAGACTTTCAACTCCCTCCAAAGATTTTCTATGGGGTTGAGATCTGGAGACTGGCTAGGCCACTCCAGGACCTTGAAATGCTTCTTACGAAGCCACTCCTTCATTGCCCGGGCGGTGTGTTTGGGATCATTGTCATGCTGAAAGACCCAGCCACGTTTCATCTTCAATGCCCTTGCTGATGGAAGGAGGTTTTCACTCAAAATCTCACGATACATGGCCCCATTCATTCTTTCCTTTACACGGATCAGTCGTCTTGGTCCCTTTGCAGAAAAACAGCCCCAAAGCATGATGTTTCCACCCCCATGCTTCACAGTAGGTATGGTGTTCTTTGGATGCAACTCAGCATTCTTTGTCCTCCAAACACGACGAGTTGAGTTTTTACCAAAAAGTTATATTTTGGTTTCATCTGACCATATGACATTCTCCCAATCCTCTTCTGGATCATCCAAATGCACTCTAGCAAACTTCAGACGGGCCTGGACATGTACTGGCTTAAGCAGGGGGACACGTCTGGCACTGCAGGATTTGAGTCCCTGGCGGCGTAGTGTGTTACTGATTGTAGGCTTTGTTACTTTGGTCCCAGCTCTCTGCAGGTCATTCACTAGGTCCCCCCGTGTGGTTCTGGGATTTCTGCTCACCGTTCTTGTGATCATTTTGACCCCACGGGGTGAGATCTTGCGTGGAGCCCCAGATCGAGGGAGATTATCATTGGTCTTGTATGTCTTCCATTTCCTAATAATTGCTCCCACAGTTGATTTCTTCAAACCAAGCTGCTTACCTATTGCAGATTCAGTCTTCCCAGCCTGGTGCAGGTCTACAATTTTGTTTCTGGTGTCCTTTGACAGCTCTTTGGTCTTGGCCATAGTGGAGTTTGGAGTGTGACTGTTTGAGGTTGTGGACAGGTGTCTTTTATACTGATAACAAGTTCAAACAGGTGCCATTAATACAGGTAACGAGTGGAGGACAGAGGAGCCTCTTAAAGAAGAAGTTACAGGTCTGTGAGAGCCAGAAATCTTGCTTGTTTGTAGGTGACCAAATACTTATTTTCCACCATAATTTGCAAATAAATTCATTAAAAATCCTACAATGTGATTTTCTGGAAAAATTTTTTTCTCAATTTGTCTGTCATAGTTGACGTGTACCTATGATGAAAATTACAGGCCTCTCTCATCTTTTTAAGTGGGAGAACTTGCACAATTGGTGGCTGACTAAATACTTTTTTCCCCCACTGTAAATAAAGGTTAAATACAAAATTAAAAAAGGGCACTATACAGGGAATAAGGTGCCATTTGGGATGCTGCCCAAAATCACCAACTGCATACTACACAAGCTGCTCATCCTCCAGATTGCTGAGTCATGTACAGGTAACTGCCAAAATAAAGGAAACACTTGAGTAGCTGAGGATTACAAAGTATATTGAAAGCAAGTGCATTTTCTGAATTAATTAAGCAATTAAACATCCCATCATGCTTAGGGTCATGTATAAAATGCACAGTTACCCATTATTTTGGCTACCATGGCTAGAAGAAGAGATCTCAGTGACGTTAAAAGAGGGGTCTCAAAGGAGCATAGGGGGTTTAAAGGGTGTGTGTATGTGTCTCAGTCACCAGATCTCAACCCAATTGAACACTTATGGGAGATTCTAGAGAGACACCTGAGACGGTGTTTTCCACCACCATCAACAAAACACCAAATTATGGAATTCCTTGTGGAATAATGGTGTTGCATCCCTTCAATGGAGTTCCAGACACTTGTAGAATCTATTCCAAGGCGCATTGAAGCTGTTTTGGTGGCTCAACACCCTTAAGACACTTTATGTTGGTGTTTCCTTTATCTTGGCAGTTACCTGTATTTCACATGAAAGAGAGGACCTGGGCTGATTAAGTGCTTTGTGGGAGAGAGAAAGGGCACTGAAGCTGTGATGGTGAGAAAGCTGCTCTTGAACACACCGCTTCAGTGCTAAAGGACACTTGAGACACTGATTGCTCCATCTGAATGACTGATCTGAGTGGGCCCGATTGACAAAGGTTAATGGACATCAGTACAAAGGTCAGGGGATTTGTTGCTAAAATTGTTATTTCACTGTTGATGTCAGGTCTTTGTCTTGTTTCTGGTAGGGTGAACTCAGCCATTGGATAGCATGTAGTGATAGCATGCAGTTTCTTCCTAGATAACTTCCGTCTAGGGAGATTTTCCTGGCCACTGTGCTTTTGCATCTGCTTTGCTTGATCTTTGGGGTTTAGGCCGGGTATCTGTAAAGCACTTTGTGGCAAATGCTGATGTAAAAAGGGCTTTATAAAATAAATGTGAGTAATTCTCTTTACAGAGTCAAACAATCAATCTGTGGCAGTGTGAGTCGAAATCATCTTAGTGTAACAGTCAAGCATGAATTGCAAATGATCCCCCCTCCAAAAAAGAGTCCACAAAACAAAAACGTAAAAGCATGAATCACTCCACAACACCTATGACAGATGGATTTATGGACATGGTTCTCTCCGAGACAAGATGATTGACAGACCTGGAATTCATGGCCAATTCCGAGAAACACCTCTCCACGTCTCCATTTGTTTCCTTGGTTACCAGTCTGGGACCACACTTCATGGGTGACATTTCCAAACTTCAATAACACCTGTGAAATACATAATATCTCACAATCGTACCACAGATTTGTGATTTCAAAAACATTGTCATAGCCATTAGACGTATTTTATTCACCATATGGTATGTTGTGGTGCAAAGTATTTTTGAGAGACTGAGAACAAAATAAGTTTAAGCTTATGTAAAAAAATTAAACTGTCCAACTTAAAGTCTGCAACAACAAAACAAGGCGCTCCTTTCGTGATCTAAATTAAAACGCCTATAGTAGATTGGCATATCACCACCGAGTTTCGACAAACATGTTTTCATCAGTGTATGACAATCTAATAAAGGCTTTTAAATTTAGATTACAAAATAAGTGCCTTGTTTTTTTGTTGCTGGCTTTTAGTTTCACCGTTGTTGTTTTTTACCTAAGCCACAACTTCTTTTGTTCTCAGTCTATTTAGACCCTAGTTTCCTATGTGCATCCTTTTGATACCATTTATATATTTCTCACAGAAGCAATGCAACGCTCCTTATTTTCCCTTTTCTTGATGATACTTCTGAGAGACTCTATGGCAGGGTTCTTCAATTCCGGTCCTGGAGGGCCGAAACACCTCTGTTTTTCATCCTCTCCTTCTAATCAGGGGCTAATTCAGACCTGGGACACCAGGTCAGTGCAATTAACTACCAGGTAGAACTAAAAAACAGAAGTGTTTCGGCCCTCCAGGACCGGAATTGAAGAACCCTGCTCTATGGGATTCATTCACCTGCAGGGTTCCCACAGTGAAGCCGCTCATGTGATACCAGAATCCCAAGGTGCACTGGGGTCCAGTGGAGGAGATGACAGGAGTCTGCAGGTCGGTGGTGTGGCCGTAACCACCGTTGGAGCTGTCTGCATACATGTACCAACCTTCTGGACTGCCACTGGTGTAGAGACAAGGAGAGGGGAGGTTAGAGGTTCACATTATGAACACAATTCAATTGAATTCAAACAACTTTATTTGTCACCTTGGGGCAATTCTATTTAGGGCTATAGCCGTGGTTCAGACACAAACAGAGACAATAAATAGAGATGAACGTAAAAGACAATTACCTTAAAGTACAATACAATACATTTGATAATGAAAATATAAAATGCAGAAAGTATTAGTTTATGGGAAATAGGGTTGGGTAAGAACAAATACACTGTAGTAGTCAATGGAACACAATCCCATTCTTGCTTTTCTTTGTTCGCCACACTGTACATAAATAGAAGGGAAAAACGTGTAAATCGGCAGGAAAACACTAGTGCTTCCTCATCTTTATTTTCACCTCAACCATGAAATGGAATTAAGGTTAGTGTCCAGTAAGCTCAACTAGGTATGTGAAGCCTCAGTTGTCCAACACACACACACACACAGACTGCACCCTCCCACCCCACACATTGAGTGCCCGCCCACAGAGACAGAGACAGGTCACTGAAAGTCATCTATCTCTCCCTGTACTAGACCCAGGCCCCTACAGATTGTCAATCACAGTCATCCTTTACAACCATGGGAGAATAGAGTAGTGGGCTGCGATTCGCTTGACTGCTTTCATCCATCTCCATAAGCTTGCAGCTCCCTGGATACCATGCCTCTCCGCCCTTCCTCTCTCCACTCTCTACCCAAGAGAGGAGAGTTTCCCCTCTCACTTCCATGGCTGCCGGAGCTTAACGATTGTCTGCTATTGAAGAGTAAAGGACTGCAGCAGGAGTGAGAGAAAGACGGAGGAGGAGGGGAGGAGAAGGATGATTGCACCTGCACTCTGGCCCACTGGCTACAAGAGGAAAGGAAATTACAGAAATGGAGGAGTTGATTTCTGATCTCACTGTCAACCCCAAGGACCTCAGATAGGCAATCATAGCCCAGACAGGTAACCATCTGAAACATCATCACTCGGTTTCATAGATGTCTCAGAGGGCTGTGATGGCGTTTTTGACCCCGTGTGTGGCAATGGTCATCAAAATTGTTATTGTAAAATGTATCTTTCTTATAATACACTCATATACATTTTCTTAGTATATCAGGTATTTTTCTAAAAATATTTTGTGATAAAATAAAGAAAAGTATATGTGCCTCATTTGCATATACTGTATACACTGGGTGTATTTCCATACATTAATACATTAATATAAAGGGGTGGAAGAGGGCTGCAACCACCAAAAACATGCTCTGTCCTCCAACTTGCAATCACCTGCGCTGTCTAGACTCCCTCATTAATTACTGTTCTCACATTCTCTTGCATAATTCAACAAGTGTGTCAAGAGAACGATACCAACGCATTTAATATCACTATAATCCGAGTGTTCATTTTCGGAAGTTGCATTCATTTCAGCGCATTTCATTTGTAAACATTTCACCTGTATTAAATCATTACTTTTTTCAATTGCACAAAAAATCAACACCAACTAAAATAAAGTTATCGTCAAGCCAATGTATTCCATTGAGCACATTTGAGCCATTACTGGAGTTTGTAATTACAGGTCCGCGGTCGCTATGTTATCGGGAAGAAATGAATGGCACAAGCAAGAAAGAGTCGCTACAGTAAAATGAAAGCCATCAATCCAGTGAGATTTAAGTGACAAGTGGATTTTCAGATGGCTGAAAAGGAGAGATCCTCAGGTGGGCATGCACGTTGCTAGTGTGTGTGTGCCTGTATGTGTACGCGTGTGCCTGTGTGTGCGCATGCGTGTGTTTGGGACTCACAGGGTGTGGTCGATGACTGGCCGGTGGTACTGCTCTCCAAAGTGTACAGTGTTGCCCTGGTCAGGAAGCCAGCTGAATGAATGGAGCAGGCCAGAGGGAGCAGGACAGACCCTCTCCCAGCCACACAGGTCACCCCCCTCAAAATCACACACCTCCTTCACTGGGGGACACACAGAGGACACAGAAAGTGAGAGCGAGGAAAGAAAGAAACACAGACACCATTAGACAATACCTATGGTCTTTGAAAATTCTGAACAATTCTATTTCTGATTCAAGACAATTCTAGTGGTCTCTGTCTTCTCTGTGGATGAAGAGTGCACAGCAAGGACAGAAAGAGGGTGGGAGAGAAAGAGAGAGAGGGGAAAGATTCCAATAATCCAATGCTGGTCAAATAACAGCCAAGGGGCCATATGTATCAAGCAGATTTGCCTTTGCAACACACAATTAAAAAGGTTACAGGGGAGGCAAGACCTGATCCTATACATAGCCCCAGATCTGAGGGAACAAGGTCACTACCCACCACAGTGCTGTTCATCCGACCCATCGGAGCAGTCATGTCTAAAGTCACACACCCTGCTCTGGTCCACACACTCTCCGTGAGCTCCACACACAAACTTCCCCTCTGGGCAGACGTGGGGCTGGACTGTAGGGGCTTCCGTCGGGGGGAAGGGGGTGGTGGGGCTCACTGAGGGCAAGCCCCCTGAAACAAACAAATTAATAACGTATAACACATCCAACAAACTGTAACTCAATCTAGAGTGGGACACAGTTTTATATGCTGGTGGTAAGGTATAACTACAAAGGGAAATCTTCCTGAAGAAGAATTTTGTGCTTGCCTCAGCTGTCCCAAAAATGTTTTATGGTAGTGGAAGTGGTCTAAATAATAATAATAATAATAATAATAATAATAACAATAATATAAGTATGTTGAATATCTAGGGGTCTTGCTGAAGTAAGCATACTAATTACCATTATAGAGCACACAGTCCAGGAAGGACAGGTCATCAATGGCGATGTCTCCATTGAAGTCGTCACCGACTGTGCCCTCGACCAGAATCTGCAGACACAGACAACAAGGTATGGCTCTGTGTGTGTGTGTATGTTTGTTTTGCATCTAAGTACAGTGTGTTATACTTTATGCAGTGTCCCAAATGGCCACTGATTCCCTATATAGTGAACTACATTTGACCAGAGCCCTATGGGCACTGGTTAATAGAAGTGCACTACATAAGGAATAGGGTGTAATTTGAGACACAGTCATGTCTCTTTCATCCACACAGGTAGACATTTTATCATAGTTCTGACCTCCTCAGCAGGTTCAGCCTATAGCCTGGTAACTATCGCTCTACCAGGAGAGCAGCACCGTATGGAGAACAATTTACACAGTTGTAGGTTGTCGATTCAGAATAACCCCAAAACGATGAGTACTCAGCAAGTCAAGCACTACAACCAGAGATGTAGTGCTGCCGTAGCGCGGGGGAGCAGCACTCCCTCACTTTTTTCTATTTGAGATTACACGGAGCTGCTACAAAAATTCCATGAAAACAGTAGAATGGCAAACTAAATAAATATGTAGGCTATAGTAGCCTTGCAAAAGTATTCATCCCCCTTGGCATTTTTCCTATTTTGTTGCATTACAACCTGTAATTTAAATTGATTTTTATTTGGATTTCATGTAATGCACATACACAAAATAGTCCAAATTGGTGAAGTGAAATGAAAAAAATAACTTGTTTCAAAAAATTCAAAAAAATTAAGAACGGAAAAGTGGTGTGCGCATATGTATTCACCCCCTTTGATATGAAGCCCCTAAATAAGATCTGGTTCAACCAATTACCTTCAGAAGTCACATAATTAGTTATATAAAGTCCACCTGTGTGCAATCTAAATGTCACATGATCTGTCACATGATCTCAATATATATACACCTGTTCTGAAAGGCCCCAGTGTCTGCAACACCACTAAGCAAGGGGCACCACCAAGCAAGCGGCACCATGAAGACCAAGGAGCTCTCCAAACAGGTCAGGGACAAAGTTGTGGAGAAGTACAGATCAGGGTTGGGTTATAAAAAAATATCAGACACTTTTAACATCCCACGGAGCACCATTAAATCCATTATTAAAAAATTTAAAGAATATGGCACCACAACAAACCTGCCAAGAGAGGGCCGCCCACCATAATTCACGGACCAGGCAAGGAGGGCATTAATCAGAGAGGCAACAAAGAGACCAAAGATAACCCTGAAGCAGCTGCAAAGCTCCAAAGCGGCGATTGGAGTATCTGTCCATATTTAGATTTTAGTCATTTAGCAGACGCTCTTATCCAAAGCGACTTACAGTTAGTGAGTGCATACATTTTCATATGACCACTTTAAGCCGTACACTCCACAGAGCTGGGCTTTACGGAAGAGTGGCCAGAAAAAAGCCATTGCTTAAAGAAAAAAATAAGCAAACACGTTTGGTGTTCGCAAAAGGCATGTGGGAGACTCCCCAAACATATGGAAGAAGGTACTCTGGTCAGATGAGACTAAAATTGAGCTTTTTGTCCATCAAGGAAAACGCTATGTCTGACGCAAACCCAACACCTCTTATCACCCCGAGAACACCATCCCCACAGTGAAGCATGGTGGTGGCAGCATCATGCTGTGGGGATGTTTTTCATCGGCAGGGACTGGGAAACTGGTCAGAATTGAAGGATGGTGCTAAATACAGGGAAATTCTTGAGGGAAACCTGTTTCAGTTTTCCAGAGATTTGAGACTGGGATGGAGGTTCACCTTCCAGCAGGACAATGACCCTAAGCATACTGCTAAAGCATCACTCGAGTGGTTTAAGGGGAAACATTTAAATGTCTTGGAATGGCCTTGTCAAAGCCCAGACCTCAATCCAATTGAGAATCTGTGGTATGACTTAAAGATTGCTGTACACCAGCGGAACCCATGGAACTTGAAGGAGCTGGAGCAGTTTTGCCTTGAAGAATGGGCAAAAATCCCAGTGGCTAGATGTGCCAAGCTTATAGAGACACACCCCAAGAGACTTGCAGCTGTAATTGCTGCAAAAGGTGGCTCTACAAAGTATTGCCATTGAATAGTTATGCACGCTCAAGTTCTGTTTTGTTGTCTTATTTCTTGTTTGTTTCACAATAAAAAATATTTTGCATCTTCAAAGTGGTACGCATGTTGTGTAAATCAAATGATACAAACCCCCCAAAAATATATTTTAATTCCAGGTTGTAAGGCAACAAAATAGGAAAAATGCCAAGGGGGGTGAATACTTTCGCAAGCCACTGTATATGCATTGATTGAAACAAAATAGGCCTACAAGAAAGGCTAATAGTTTGTTAATGCTGTATGCTTTCATCCACTCACAAAACAGTAATTCAAGAAGATCTAAATGCGTATTCCCATGAAACTGATTGAGATCCAATGATTGGCATGCAGTATAACTTGGTGTTGGAGGGTATTCAAATGTACAAATGTTCTTGAGACAATACGTGTGGGCACGGGCAGACGTTGCAATTGGAGGATGCATTTTATGCATAGGCATATTCTACAATGATATTCAATAGGTTACATCTGTCGGTACAAATTTTGATTGAGAAATGATTAAATAATTATACTTTTTTTATTGCGCTCCCTCACCTAAAATAGCACTACACTATTGACTACAACGCCTCTCACTTCAAATCCAATTCACTGGTAACTAGCAAGCTAATGAAATACTCCACCACTGACCACCCCCAGCTCTGTTCTATACTCAACTAAAATATAAACGCAACATGTAAAGCGTTGGTCCCATGTTTCATAAGCCGAAATAAAAGATCCCAGACATTTTCCTTTCCATACGCACAAAAAGCTTATTTATCTGAAATGTTGTGCACATGTGTTTACACCCTGTTAGTGAGCATTTATCATTGGCCAAGATAATCCATCCACCTGACAGGTGTGGCATATCAAGAAGCTGATTAAACAGCATGATCATTACACAGGTGCACCTTGTGCTCTAAAATGTGCAGTTTTGTCACACAACACAAATGCCACTGATGTCTCAAATGTTGAGGGAGCATGCAATTGGCATGCTGACTGCAGGAATGTTCACCAGAGCTGTTGCCAGAGAATTGAATGTTCATTTCTCTACCATAAGCTGCCTTCAAAGTCGTTTTAGAGAATTTGGCAGTACAGTCATGCTCAAAAGTTTTGAGAATGACACAAATATTAATTTTCACAAAGTATGCTGCCTCAGTTTTTATGATGTCAATTTGCATATACTCCAGAATGTTATGAAGAGAGATCAGATGAATTGCAATTAATTGCAAAGTTCCTCTTTGCCATAGAAATGAACTTAATCCCCCCCAAAAACATGTCCACTGCATTTCAGCCCTGCCACAAAAGGACCAGCTGACATCATGTCAGTGATTCTCTAGTTAACACAGGTGAGAGTGTTGACGAGGACAAGGCTGGAGATCACTATGTCATGCTGATTGAGTTAGAATAACAGACTGGAAGCTTTAAAAGGAGGGTGGTGCTTGAAATCATTGTTCTTCCTCTGTTAACCATGGTTACCTGCAAGGAAACACGTGCCATCATCATTGCTTTGCACAAAAAGGGCTTCACAGGCAAGGATATTGCTGCTAGTAAGATTGCACCTAAATCAACCATTTATCGGATCATCAAGAACTTCAACGAGAGAGGTTCAATTGTTGTGAAGAAGGCTTCAGGGCACCCAAGAAAGTCCAGCAAGCGCCAGGACCGTCTCCTAAAGTTAATTCAGCTGCGGGATCAGGGCACCACCAGTGCAGAGCTTGCTCAGGAATGGCATCAGGCAGGTGTGAGTGCATCTGCACGCACAGTGAGGCAAAGACCTTTGGAGGATGGCCTGGTGTCAAGAAGGGCAGCGAGGAAGCCACTTCTCCACAGGAAAAACATCAGGGACAGACTGATATTCTGCAAAAGGTACAGGGATTGGACTGCTGAGGACTGGGGTAAAGTCATTTTCTCTGATGAATCCCCTGTCCGATTGTTTGGGGCATCCGGAAAAAAGCTTGTCCGGAGAAGGCAAGATGAGCGCTACCATCAGTCCTGTGTCATGCCAACAGTAAAGCATCCTGGGACCATTCATGTGTGGGGTTGCTTCTCAGCCAAGGGAGTGCCTAAGAACACAGCCATGAATAAAGAATGGTACTAACACATCCTCCGAAAACAACTTCTCCCAACCATCCAAGAACAGCTTGGTGACAAACAGTGCCTTTTCCAGCATGATGGAGCACCTTGTCATAAGGCAAAAGTGATAACTAAGTGGCTCGGGGAACAAAACATCAACATTTTGGGTCCATGGCCAGGAAACTCCCCAGACCTTAATCCCAACTTGTGGTCTATCCTCAAGAGGCAAGTAGACAAACAAAAACCTACAAATTCTGACAAACTCCAAGCATTGATTATGCCTCATGCCTGAGCCAATTAATCTGGACTGTTAATTGGACGGGAGCTGGAATAAGCCCAAATTTATTGCACAGAGGGGAGATATGCAGAGTCTAGGGAAGGACGTGACAACCCCTGACTACAGCATATTAGCTAGTGACTTAATCAGGCCCTCTTTGCTTCAGTGCATTTAAGCCTTGTTCACACTGCAGGCCTTAATGCTCAAATCAGTTTTGTTTTTCAAATCCGTTTTGGAATACTGACTGTCCAAACAGCAAGTTACAAGTGACCAAATTTGTGTGTTCAGACAACAGTAATTTGCTGTCATGGCTACGCTAGCTGTCATAGTAACAACGGGTGTATGCGCAGAGGTGTAGGCTGATTGGTGGTGGTGCTCGTGCTTCCTATCACTCAGAAGTTATGTAGCATGCTAAGGTGACAACAATGCCTGGCATGGACATTTCCCAGTGGTTTAGAATGTTAAGGGGGATCACGTGACCCTTGAACGAGATGGCAGCATGAACTGAGAGCTCCGCACATGTAATTTCCAATTCTTAATCTTACCTCCACTTCAAGTTAAACCCCATTAGCTTTAGTAAAAAAAGCCATGGCGGCTACAAAAGGCGACATTACTTGTGACATT